ATACTCACTGCCATCATCGTCGTCGTCATCGTCAAGTTTGCTTATTGAAATATTTTGCGATTTGATTAAATGATATGGTGAGGTGTGTTGTAATTCACTTCTAGAGAGGATCTATTGTTTCTGATGTAGCTTTTTTTGGTGTTTTCATCTGTTTTGTTGTTGTTGTTGCTGACAATTTTATTAACGATGAGGTCATCAGTCTTGCTTTTGTCATCGTCATCTTCAAAATTATCACCTCCACACTCATATCATTTTGTCGTTTTTCGCAGAGCAAGAATATCCACTTCAATCATTCATTCAACCGTTGTTACCATTTGCACTGAACTTAAATTGGAAAGATTGATTATGACGATAATGACATCGGTGATGACAAGATAATGATGATAAGATGATAATAATTATTATTATAATAATAATAATTATAATAATAATTATTATAATAATTATAATAATAATACATGATAACGGTTTGATAGTACTCACCGATACAATAAAAAAATATGAATAAAGTTCCGTTATTAACGAAAAAAATAACTACAACGAACGCAATAACAAAACCAGAAAAGCACAAAAGAGTAACAATTAAAATGGCTAAATCATTAGAATTAACAAACGGGCAAAAAATGATTAACCGTAAAAATAATAAAAAAAAAACTACATCGTCATCAACCTTATTAAGGTTATATTATTATCGTTACAAGATAACAGTGCATAAAACACTTATACACAATTATAGGGATACAAACGGTATATCGCAAAGCATCGGTAAAATATCGATATTAACACCGATATACCGGCGATATATAGCCGGTATATCGATAGCCAAACTCTCAAAAACGTTAACGATAAAATAATATCGATATAGGTTTACCGATACTCTATAACATTGAGCCATTTGTATCGAATTATCGATATTTTCAAATAATGGTATTGTTAAGAGGAATGTTGCATCCCTAGAAACAATACGTCTAGTTGCCTACCTTGGCCACTGCTTGCTTCCTTCATCGTTGTCCATCCTTTCATTGTTGAGTCGTCCTTATTATTATTATTATAATTATTATTATTATATTGTTTATTATTTCTATTATTAATATTATTGTTATTTCTATTCTCGTTTGTAATATTATCCTTATTAATATTGTTGTTGTTTGTTTTGTTGTTGGCAACGTTATTGGTGTTGTTGTTGTTGTTGTTGTTGATAAAGTTATTGGTGTTGCTGTTGTTGTTGACAAAGTTATTGGTGTTGCTGTTGACAAATTTGTTGTTAATGACGTCAGCACCCTTGCTTCCGTCATATTTTCCATCCTCATTATCGCCTTCATACTCGTCATAGGCGTAGTACACGGAAGCAGTGGTAGTAGTAGTAGTAGCAGCGGTGGTGACGGTGGTTGCTTCAGTAGCAGTAGTATTAGCCGTTGTTGCGATGTTTGTAGTAGAAGCAGGTGCGACGAGTCCTATTTTTGTAACTTCAGTAAAAATTACAGATTTCTTCTTGTTAGGAGCATACAATTTCATCACCAACCTGCCTCGTTTTTCCATGATGTTGATTTAATATTTATTATTCATCTGACCGGTTAGTTGTTAGTTTGTTTGGGGTTTCCAGTTTGATTTTTGTAGCTTAATGCATTTTATTTGGCTATTTTTTAATATGGCTAAGATGGCTATTCATTTTAAATTATTAAATCCATTTTTATTTAGTTATTTCAATTTATTTATTCACTCCTTCAATTTATTTTATAATACTTTAAAATCAAGCTAGGAGAGATAGAACATTTACCTTGTAGTGGTTCTTACATAGATGTTAGTCTACTGGACCACTTTAAACTTTGTTATTATTATTATTATTATTATTATATTTTAGATTGTTAGTAAAGCTCCATTTGCTTCTTCAACGTATTTTAGTTAGCCAGGAAAATATTGTTTACCTGGTTTTATCTTAAAATATACTTTTAAATAGAAAATAATTTAATCACAAAAACCATAAATATTTAAAAAAAAGTCCTTTTGTATTTTTTACCATCGCTCACGTATTTATTTTTGTTATTTCAGCTTTATCGAAGTTACCTTTGAAAGATTAGTGATCTTTTATCACCGTCATCATTCCATTTTAAAATATGCATCCATTAAGACGATGATGTTGTTGTTGACGAGTTAGTCGTGGTTTTTGCTGTTGTTTTGTTGTTGTGGTTGTTTTGTTGTGGTTGTTGTTATGGTTTTTGTTGTTGTTGCTGCTGCTGTTTTTGTTATATGGTTGTTGTTAGTGTTATTGTTGTTAGATTATTGTTGTCGTAATTGTTGTTTTTTGTTGTTGTTATTGTTGTTTGTGTTAATATCATTATTACTGCTGCTGTTGTTGTTATATGCGGTCCTATGTAATTAATGTAATCAAATAATCTTCTTTAATGTCGCTTGATAAATAAATGCTAAAGAACTAACTTCGTGCAATTTTACCTGAGACCGACTGACTGAAGTATGGGCATATTGTATTGTATATATATATATATATCTGTCTGTGTGTGTGTTGTAGTATTAGTATATAATATATATATATATATATATATATATATATATATATATGTATTATGATATATATGACTGCGTGCAAACATATACGCCTGTATTTGTATATAGAGGTGTTTCGAAGTATAATCTGGCGACAGGACTGACGACAATTACTATTGAAAATTCTTCACGTCTACATAATAAAACCTGCCCCCGAAACCTCCAAATTGCCTGAATGCTCTACTTTTTGTTGTTGTTAAGAATGTTGAGGTCATTTGCATGCCTTGACCGTTTAATATTTTATGCAGCATAAAATTTATTTTAGTATTAAACTCTGAACTTTAAACTTTGAACCATTGGTCGATCTGATATTACATTTTTTTGTATGTACAGGGTACACTGATTGTTCAATTGGCCTTGCCAGGCTCTAACATCTCGTAAAATTTAATATTTTTTTCTTATTCGTCATTTGGAGAAAAAAACAATGTATAAAATCATCAAAAAGCAAATTTAAAATTCGAATAAAAATAAAAAATAACTGAGAAAAATATAACATGGGCTATGGAAATACGTAATATACATAACATAACGTAACGTGACATAACAGGGTTTAAAGTGGTTCAGTAGATTAGAGTCTGTGTGAGAACCACTGCAAGATAAGTGTCCTAATACCCTAACTTTCCGAGCTTGATCTTGAAACTGTTGATTGGTTCCGTGGAGACCGTCTCATCACTCAGGTCATTCCAGGTGTTTACCACTCTACCTAACAGCTGAAGAATCTTTGCTTGATGGCACCTTCTGTTTTTTAGGAAAGCTTGTATTGGTAATCCTATTCTCATTCAATTTGTTAAACGGTGTTTCTCCTTTCTGGTAATCAATTTGTATGCCTGTAGTAGATCTTCTCTGCATCTTCTTGTTTCCATTGTTGTCAATTCGCGTTCTTTCAATGTATCTTTGTATTTAAGATTTTTAAGTCCTCTGATCATCTTTGTTGCTCTCCACTCAACTGTACTTTTAGTAAATCTACTGTAAATCAGTGATCAAATGAGTGATTATTAGTTGAAATTTTAAAACAAACAAAAAATGTTAACCATCATTTGAAATCTATTCAGTCAAAAAAAATTAAACACAGGAACAACAAGTCGACAATGAATGGATGGACAGACACATGAAAAGGTTTAAAGATTTCTTCAATATTCCACATTTAAACCACAGACTTACGTTAGGAGATAGCTCGCACTCTATATTTCTCAAAAGCGATTTTTTTTTTATTTTAAACGATTTAATTTATTCTATTAACCTTTAAACGTTTATGACTAACATAGTGCTTAAACTAAACAAAAACAAACTGCATTAAAAAACGAATTACACAGAAATAATTTGCCAATATAGTTTTTGATTAATTTTGTTTAACAATAGAAATAAATCATTCCAGCTTATGGCTAACCACATGCATCCAACATGGGGTACGTACATGTTCGCAGTTTGGTGAGAGTGTTTAAATGCTCATAACATGAAGCCGGTAATCCGAGTCCGATGCCTATATTTCATTTTCACTTCTAATCCATCTCAGGGACAACATAAACACCGACACATCACACATCACACACACACACACACACATGTGTGTGTTTAATTGCTTGTGTTTGTTTATTTATAAACGTTAGTTACTTTGTTTTTTAACAAATGTTAGTTATGAGCACTCCTCCAACAGAATTGAAGATTTATTTGACTTTAAAATAAAAAATAGAAGAACATATGGTTGTATGTATGTTGGGGTCACAATGTAAGTGTAAGGGTTCTCATCTTTTCATGTCACAAGACTCACGGGCCACACAACGACAATTATCCTTAACAACAAATATTTTCATATATATTTCCAGCGTTCTTTATGTTACTGGTGAAAATCATTCTCACATAAAGACATGATTCTCACATTCATATTCATTTGAAACTTAATCTATCTGTTCCGTTATAAATCTTATAAGCAGTCATTCATTTCTTCTCATCTTTGTAACACATCCCAGATACAAAATGGTTTTTGTCTATAGAAATTTTCAAATGATTATCTACGTTTTTTCGCTGTTTGGTTCAACCTTCATCTATGATATTACGTTTGAATGATGCTGCGAGTTTGTTCACGTCACGCTCATTTTAATTTCACTAATTTAAACTTCATTTTACTTTTAACTATTCATTGCCCATTCCTAATTGTAGACCGGAACAAATGTTACTGTGTGTATGGAGATTGATGTCGTCTTGGTTTTGCAATTAAAGACATTAAATTAGCATGAAATCAGTTGCGAGGCGTTTTGCTTCCGCTCTCAAGGTTTCAATTACTTTTTTTTTTCTCAATATTTCATTATTTTCCTGTAAAATTATTAAGACCTGTTCGTGCCCTTGAGCCAGTTTAGTTCAGTGTCATCTTTCATAGCTAGACTCTTTTTTAAACTTAGAGAGGTTCTTGATCTAAATCACAGTCAATTTGGATTTGATTTTTTAAATTTTATTTTATTTATAATTGTTTTGTTTAAGTTTTACACTAAATTATGTTTTGATTATTGGAAAAGTATATTGATTAAAAATTAGGAATGTTTATTTTGTTTCATCATTTGATTTTGAGTTTGATCTGATTATTAGTAGGTTTTCATTTTGTTCTCCCCTGAGCACAATTAACTGTTTTGTCAAGGACCTATTTATTATTGTCACTAATCAATTATCTAGCACATTTTTACATTTTTTCACCAGAGCAAGTATTCAAGTCAGGCAGCTTTAAAATCTGCACCAACAAAGCCAAGTTTGGCCCCGCAAGATGTCAAGGCATGTTCCATAATTATTATCTTCCTGATTCATTTTAAAATATAACAATTGTTGTTCTATTGTTACTTTTGCTTGAATTTATTTTTTCAAAATATTGATGAAAGTTTTTTTAATTTTATTTTAAATGGTTCGCCAGATTTCTCATCTCCCTAATGGTGTCGTTGTGGCCTCAGTTGAGAACCTGTCCCCGGTAACAAGAGTGGCCGTTTTGTACAATGCAGGATGCAGATACGAAGATTATGATAACCAAGGTGTAACTAACTACCTCAGGATGCTTGCAACTCAGGTTGAACTGAATCTGTTTTTCTTTTATTTATATTCTCTTGCTTAGTGCATTTTAAATTTCATTTCATTTCATCAAATTAATATAGAACAAATTCTATATTAATTTGTTTTTTTTTTTGAAGAATTATTTTGAATCAATCCTGACAATGCTTAAAAATAAATTTATGATGCAAACAAATTTATGTAATAATGTTTTATATATTTCTTAAAAGAATATTACTATTATATCTTTTGGTAAAATTTTCAATTTTCAAACAGAGTACCAAGAAAGCAACTGGATTTGGGATTTCGAGGACCATTCAACAAATTGGTGGAAATATAACGTGAGTTCATTTTGATCACAAGTGATAATTTTGGTGATAATGGTGACATTTGAATCTTATCACTTCAATACCATCATTTGATACAATATCACCTTATCATTTCAATACCAACATTTATTGCATAGTTGTATTTCAATATCATCATTGTTTTATACTTAATTTTTTTTTAATCATAATTTGATATGCTATCACCATATCAATCAATTCGGTGTCATCTTTTTATACACTATCATGATAATCACACTGTTTTAATGTCATCATTTGATGCAGTATCTCATCATGCTATTTTTATTATAATTTGAAATTAATACATTACCATCAGATTATTTCATTATCATCTCATACATCAACTGATACACCATATCGTCGTATCATTTCAGTATCATCTCATTCTTATTTCCAGATGTACGACGAACAGAGAACAGGTGATATATTCAGTCGAAGCACTTCGTAGTCACTTGTTAGCTCTCCATTCATATTTGGTTTTTTTTGCTTTTTTTCTAACATTTTTAATAATAATAATGATGCATGTATAAATGAATTACTGTTGAATGAATGAACAAGTAAACAATTGAGTAAGTGGATGAATAATTAATGAATGAATGCACATAGAGAGGAAGCACTGACAAATTTGGACTATGTAGCCAATGCAACTGCCTTGAAACCTTGGGAGATCAGTGACATCAAGCCACATCTGATTTTGGAGAGAGATCATTTCGAACAATGCCTCGATGCAAGTCGGTCTTCGTGATGGAGATGATGATGATGATGACGGTGGTTATCTGGAATGGTGATGATGATGGTGATGATAACTATGATGATGGTGATGATGAAAGCTATGATATGATGATAGTTGTGATATGTTGATGATGGTAAAAATGCCTGTTAATGATTATGCCCCAGATGACAAACAGGATGATTTAAAGTAACCAAATTTTATGTTGTTCAAACTCAATAAAAATGAATAATACTTACAAATAATGATCTTGATATGATCATAGTGAATACTGTTAGTGAATGTTTGGTTTCTCATTGAAAACATCAGTACACTGAAGACCAAAAATTTACCTAAGCTATGTAATATGAAAAGTTATCACAGGATTTTCAGATGTGTCTGATTTTAAGCATTAAAACACATTATACATAGATTTTGAATTAATTTTTTATTCACATTTTTTATCAACAATTTTATCTGCATGTTTTTTTACAGTGTAATGATATCAATATCTTTATTTTTTGGCAGAACTGATAGAGCATTTACACAGAGCAGCTTACAGGGACACCTTAGGACAGTCTCTATACATCAGCAGAGACAAAATTGGAAGCATCACTGAATGCCAAGTTCCTACTTATTCTTATCATTTTTTTACCTGTTAACATTTCCGTATATTTCATGGTAAATTTTCTTTTCTTTTCATAGCATAATCACTAACTGCATAATCTATCTAGTTTCAGTTAATTTTTTTCTTACATTTAATGCCTAAGTTACAACAGTATAATTATTTAAATATTCATTAATTTTTTCATGTTTAACTATCCATTTATAATACCGTACATTCATTCATCCATCTATCACATCTATCCTAGCCACATTTAACTATCCAACCAATCATCAACAAAGCCATTCTTTCATCTGAAATCATCCAATGAACCTACATACATACTAATTACTTCATCCATGTAACACTCATAACAGTTACAAGAATTTGTCAGCTCTCACTATGTCTCGCATAATGCAGCTGTTGTTGGCATTGGATTGGATCACGAGCAGCTTCTTCACTATGCCAAAAATTTCCACTTTGTTCAAGGCAAGCCTCCAACACCTCAGAAGGCTGTTTATCATAGAGGTTGGTTAGTTGGTGGTGGTGGCATTTTTAATTTGGGAAGAAGAGTGCTGGAGTTGAAAATATGGTGGTAATTATCTGTTTAACAGTGTTTTGAGTTGTAGAAATTGGATATAAACTGATGGTATTTATTCAAAATCTAATTAAAAGGCGAGATCAGAGAAGACATCAAAACGAAATATTCATACGTTGCCTGTGTGACAGAGGGGCTGGGTTTCGCCAGTCCTGACATGTTGCCCCTTTCACTTCTCCAACACTGCATCGGGATTGGTCCGTCTGTCAAGTATTCGTCCAACCAGGTTTCAAAGCTCTACAAAGCTGCATCTGCTGCTGCTACTGGACCGTTTGCTGTTAGCTCACTTTTTACTGCTGTTATTATTATTATTATTATTTTTATTAATCAGAACATAACTGCTCACATTGGTTTGCTTTTGCTTAATGAACTAAATTTACTCATTTAACTTACCAGCCTTTGTCCAATTTGAATTAAATAAAATATGCTTACACTTATTGGGAGCCATGCACAACATTTCATTGCATACCTACCACCTTTAGGTTAGTTGTATCAACACTAACTACTCAGACTCTGGTTTGTTTGGATTGAATTTGGTTTCAGAAGCAAAGGATTCTAGGAAGATTTTGAAGGCTCTTTTCTCTGTCATGAATCAGGCTGCTAAGGGAAAGATTACAGATGCAGAAGTTCAAAAAGCCAAGTCAGTAGTAATTCAGTAATTCTGTGCCGGTGCCAATCAGAATTCTGTCTTATCATGCTGCTGTCAACAATTTTTCACATATTTTTTCTGTTTGATGTGTCACTTCGACAAATTCATTATATCATTTTCATCAGAAACCACCTGAAGGCCACGTTGCATCAGTACAATGAGAATTCAACAGAAGCTTTGGAGTGGCTGGGCATTGAAGTGCTGCTCAGTGGTCAGTACCTCACGCAGAAGCAACTGGACAGTGCCATCGATAAGATATCTCTTGATGATGTTGTCAAGGTTTGTTAGTGCTCAAAATCATCAATTTTTTCTTGTCTTGACGTCATTAAAATAATTTCATTTATTTGAATGTAACAATTTCAAATGGTTGCTGTTTGATGATTTTCACGTGTAATTTTTTATTCTACATTTCTAAAGCTTTCTGCTTGAATAATCATGTCTATGTACATACTAATAAATTGCAGGTTGCCAAGAAAGTGATCACCGGCAAGCCATGCGTTGCTGCAGTTGGCAACCTCTCACACACTCCCTACCTAGATGAACTTTTCACGCAATAAATAAATTGTTACGAGGACTCAATATTAAGGCATGTGACGCCAGAATTTCTTAGCCATTAAATTTTCAACGTCTTCGTTTTCAGTGACACTCGAATGTATTTGTTGAAATGTAACGTAGAGCATGCTGACAGATTGGGATGATGAAATGGCAAGTTTGATGCTCATTAGCGATTCTTTTGTAGGTAGGTGATTAATACAATTGTTAATAAGAAGGATTGTTAACTAAAATAGAAATTTTAAATTTTACCATTTGTTGCTTAAATGAGTTGATATCACGAGATGTTTGTTAAATAAAATATTTATCCAAATAATTTTCTTATTTATATTATAAAAAAACACAATAAATAGTTTAGGTGAGATTGAGTCTTGGCAAAAAATGAGTAAATTTTGATCTCATAGGCTAAAAATGCACACTGCGTGCATTGAACGGAGATCGGTACTTTTTCTCCTGATGATTACATTAAGAATTATATTGATTTTGGTGGGCTACGTATGTCTATTTAGTTTGAACAATTATCGAAATATCAGTAATCTTTTTATTATTAAGAATTTATTTATTTGGTGCTAATTAGAAAATATTCTCAAAAGCACTTTCAAACTAGAAATTAAACTGAAACTGACTAAGTTAATAACGAATAAACCATTGCCATTTTGATAGAAGTGATCAATCCTGAATTAAACACAAAACTGTCGATTTGATGAAAAGAGAAAAGTCTCCAATTCTTTTTTAAACGAAGAAAAAGAAAGTTCTGAACTTCTCAACGACATCTAGAGACTGTTCCAAATACTGGGACCAGCAACAGCAAAATCACGCCTTCCAGTCTGCAAATTAGTCTCAGGTTTAGTTTGACTAGCAGGTTCATGCTGTTCGATCTTAAGCCGATATCCAGTACAACTGTCTTGCGAATCAACTTGTTTGATTAATACTCAGGTGCCAAACCATGCAATGAACGAAATACTAGTACACCAGTTTTGTAGATTATACTTTTATTGATTTTTAACCGGTGATGTTCATTCAAAAGCGGCCAATATCAAATCCCTTATTCATCTCTACAATTCTTAAACGAGTTGTAGTGACAAGCCTGCAAAACGATTTAACAAGCAACAATCTAATGCGGTTCATCAATCTGGCTACACGCTATTTCACTCAAGCAAGACTGCATCACTGCATGTTCTGTCAAGTTTGCATGATCTGTCAAGTTTATGTGTTGCAATGGATGACGGAAGGAAATCTTACAAAGCGTAAGCACAAATTAACGAAACTTGTGAGAAAACAGATGAATAAATCCAAATACTTTTTAAGAATGTGTGTTGGTATAACATCCAAAAAACATGCGATTGCAATTGTTCTTAACTTTTGAAATGTGGGGACAGGCCATTTTTATTCTCATCAAGCATTCAAAAAGCAATCATTCGCATCATTTGACCTATTCATAAATTTATTTTTAGTTACCCAGTAGAATGTATTTATCTATTGGTAACAAAGCGAAACTGAAAGTGTTTATGAATTTATTGAAACAACTGTAAATCAATAGTAACACACTCGGCAATCAAGATGTTCGAAACCATTAAGGCATCGCATGCACTGCTTCAAATTTTAGATTGTAACGATAACAACATGAATAGAAATGAGTGAGCACCGGACTGATGAAAGCATTTACTGTAACTTTTTGTAATTAGCATCTGAAGCATATCCACCCAAATTCATCAAGTCACAATCAGCTTCTTGGAGAAATGTTTCACACAGTAAAATATACTTGATACGTGCTTTATACATTGGAATTTTAAAAACATAACACCATTTATACTTATTTAATTTGTATGTTTTCAAAGAGCTAATCCAAACAGTAATTAAAAAAGTTGAGATGGACAGTATACGAGGAAATATTTTATAATTATGCGAGTTGGATGGAAGTTCAATATTATGTCATACTTTTCTATGTGAGTAACTTAATATTATATATAGTTTGTTTCTGGACGATAACATTCACATGACAGAAAATATAACATACGTTCTAAGCAAATAAAAAGACGAAATCACAAAACAGTGTAATCAAAAATATAGTAACAACAACATGACTAAATTATAGACTGTTAATAACATAAAAACATAACTGAATTATAGACTGTTAATATAGTACATCACATGAAACATTATCGAAATCAAAATTTATTCTGATTTAATAACGATTTAGTTTACTTTAATATCAATTCATAAAACTATCCACTTACATACATATACATGCGCGCACAATTGGTGCATTAGGCCGAAAATAAAAAAAAACTTATAAGGTACTCTATTAAAGCACATAATGTATGTATGGATGATGATAGATCAATCTAACAAACTCTTACCCTTCCCAGTCGCAGTCTGATTTCCATCACCAATCACATTAAAGAAAATAAAATTCTCATCACTGTTGGAAATGTTTGCTGTTTAGCAATGATTCATCTGGGAACCGTTTAAAAAATCGATCTAGCACTAATCTAACCGATGGAAATCAATGAAAGGATCGTTCTGGGAATAACTTTATTGATCCTGAATCATTTAAAGGATCCATCCAGAAGTAAAGTAAATTTAACCATTAGGAACCTTTGCTAAGATTAACACAGGAATCAATTAATGATTGAAAAGGATGAAATCACAAGCTTTTAGGGATTCTCGTCATATTTTACGTCAAGATTTACGTCATACGCTACACCACAAGCCTTGCCATCTGCAAATCATCAGAGACCAAAAATGATCCCAGATGCTAATTTGTTCAATGCTATCCTAATGAGATAGCGTTCAACCACCACTCAACCTCAAAATGGGACGTTGGTATGTACATTGGGCAGTAGTTAGTTGATTGACATCGTACTGGATCACTGGATGCTAAATACACTGAATAAAAAACCCACAGGAAAACAAACGGAGCACATATTCTACCAAACCTTGACAAGACACGTAGCGTCCATGCACAAGAAATTAACCAACATGCTCCTATAAACTTTTAAACATCTTAAAATCTGGGAGGCAATGGTGTAATGATAAAGAGCATGCAGTGATCGGGTTCAATCGCAAAGACATCCCAGCCTACCGCATGCAATGTGTGTGTGATGCGTTGTTGCTTCACGTGCATCTACCTATACCTACATGCGCTGTGTGTTCGTTGCTGGTGCCTCTGAAAAATATTGAAGAAAGAATTGTAATGGATAAATAAAATAAATAAATAAATCTATACAAGGTCATAAACCAAAAACGTGAAGAAAGCACCAAAGTAAATCAATGCTTACCAGATGAACTCAAACAATGGTGAATCAAAATTAAGAAAATGTGAAAAATATCTTTGGAAGACGGCAAATCTTAAAACGATTGGAAAAATACATTGTGACTACAATTACGACGACATCACTGACAACAAAGGCGACGACATCACTGATGATAATGATAATGCAGGGAAGAACTGATTAAACCGGTAATTAGTTGGAAAAAATCAACAATAATATTTACAAAGAACGGTTAATAAAAAAGAAAACTATTTTCTTAAGGTATATTCTACGCGAAAATAACAAAAAATATAATAAATAAGATCAATTGGCCAAAAAAACATCAATCAACAAACATACCGAACAAATAAGTATGAATTAAGTGATCAATCGATCGATCAATCAATCGATCAATCAATCAATCAACTAACTAATCAGTCAAAAACCAATCAAACAATTCTGCCAGGCATAGGCTTATTTAACAATCCGCAGATGATATTCTTAGCGGTGAACATGCACATGTCGGACCTAGTCTCGACAGTGGCGCTCCCAATATGAGGAGAGATAACGATGTTTGGGAGAGTGAGAAGTGGATGAAAAGGAGGAAGGGGCTCTGGTATTGTGACGTCAAGACCTGCACCCCAGATAACCTTGTTCTTCAAGGCCCTGTTGTATAAATAGTGATTATGAATGAGGTTGTGTTGAACTGAGAGATACAAAAAATGACGAAGACTAAACCAACTGACCAGTACAAATCGTTTTGCTGCACCACACCTCCCCTGCTGATGTTCACGAATATGGAAGTCTTCTTCATTTTGGAGAATGCATCTCTGTTGAAGATCTCCCGGGTGGTGTTGTTCAGCGAACATGCACAAATGACAAAATCCGACAACTCCAGAAGTTCATCAAATGAGACGTATTCTGCCACTTCGTTGTCGACTGTTTTCTTCTTTTTGATATCGTCTTCGATGTCATCGTCATCGTATATGCTATCACTTCCCTGTCTAGTAGAGTATAGGATTCGTGATACACCTAATGGCCACAAGCAGGCAGCTACAGCCTGGCCGATCCTTCCGTAGCCAACAATTCCCACTGTACTGTTCTGCAGGCCCCGACCCAACATCCATTCTGGCTTCCATGTCTGCCACTCTCCAGCCTTGATGGCATTGAAACCTTGGTGTGTGCGTGCGTGTGTATTTGTTTGTGTGTGTGAGAAATAGTGAGTGTGTGTTTGTGGTGTGTGTAAATAAATTTTGACAAAGTTTGTATAGGAGAAAACCCTGTTCTCCTGTTTTTAAGAAATGTTTCAAAATTTTGAAATCTTATGTGAAGTTGCATACGCCATATTTTTACCCACCACTTTTGTCATTATTCATCTTTTCACGCACGCACGCACACACGTAAACACACACACAAACACACACACGCAAACACACGCACAAACACACACATACACAAACACACACACGCAAACACATACGCACGCACACACACATAAACACACGCACAAACACACGCACACAAACGAACACACACACATACACACACACACACACACACACACATATATATATATATATATATATATAAATATATATATATACAATACAATACATGTACAAAAACAGGCAGATTAACCTTCAACAATCCTCCTAGACACGGCCAGCAACAACGCCATGGTCAGTTCTGTGGTGGCTGGCGTCAATATATCTGGCGTGAAACCAACCTGGCAATAATTCATTGGATGGAAGAATGATGTTAACGACGATCGGAATGATGATAGTGTATGGTGACTAAAATGACTAACGATAAATTATAACATCAGTAAAATAGCAGTAAGTAAACAATAAAAATAATAATAAAATACTGTAGCGATAAAGTAACAACAATAATAAACTACTTACAAAAAAATTACAATTGGACCAGTAACAACAACAATCATACATTACAGCAACAACGACAATCATACATAACAACAACAATAACAGCAACAACAATGAACTAACTAGCTGATAACAATAAGATAAAAAATCATGATAAATAAACAACATCTACATTACCAGAAACGTGCAAACACCCCACTCAGACATACTTTTATGTTTTTCTTGCGACAGATGTCAAGGCTTATATGTTCGTATCCAACGGACATTGTAGACACCACACTCAACTTCGGACCTTGGACATTAACGTAATTTTTTAGACTTGTTAGTAACAAATCTGTTACTAAATCAATTAAATTTGTTATGAAATAATAGATCAATAAATAATGTAATGAATAATGACACATAATATAATAAATTATAGATAATATATAAAAAATAATAGATAAATACAATTTTTATTGAATTATAAATCAGCAGAAAATTACCACTTCTAACCTGCTGCTTCTATAACTTCTTCATCAATTTTTTCTGTGAGCAAACAGAAGAGAGCATCAACTCCCTTCACCTGTTCAAGTAGAACATCTCTAGGTATGACCTCTTCACTGTCCCACTGTTTGACCTTTACCCCCGCTTTGATTAGGTGGTTGATACCAGACGAAGGTACTTTCCTCGTTATGTAGACCATGCTGTTTGAAAGGTTGATGAGAGGGGAGTCTGGAGATGATGAAGTTGGTGATGACGACGACGACGATAGAGATGACATTGGACTTCTTGTCGATCTGCAGAAAAGTTTTCTGCAGAAAACAGTTGTGAGGAATTGCGATGCAGAAGGTAACTGCCTCACGAACCGCCGGGATACAAACCTTACAAAATGAAAAATTTCAATTTTTTAAATTTCAAAATTGTGGGTGTGTGGAAGGTGCAAGAGGTGACAATGTCAAGAGGAGTCAACTTTCACAAAAGAATCAACCTTTATTTTCTATCAACAAAATTTGTGACAGCGAAAATTGAAAGCACACCCATTTGAAACCTGCACTAACAAAACCATCACTAACTTCATATTTAACAGAGGGCAAATATTTTCAAAGTATTAAACGATCTTTGAGCGGTAGACCACGTCTCCATTCTCATCAGTTGAATGTTTATTATACATTTTGTTTTGGCTTTTCATCACAAATCTAATAAACTTAGTAGTACTCTTCGACTTTTGACTTGTCACGTAAATTTAATAAAAATGTATTTTTAAGTGTAAAACAATATTATTTTAATAAAAATTAATCTGTCTACTGTTTCCATTTTTGCGTTCTTCACAAATAATTACGTAAATTAACTTTTAAAACTTTTCTTCATTATTTTGGTAACTTTTAGTTTAGTTACCCAATTTGAGCGGTCTTGTTAAAAGTTTTAATTTTTTAATTTTTGTTTTATTTAGTTCATCATCTTAATTATGGCAAACTCCAAAATAGCAAGTAAAATCAAATTATTATTTTTTTCTCAACATTGAAGTTTTACTTTGGTTTTCGATATGACGCTTTCATCAATTATTTTTCCAACTAGCTAGCTAGACCACTTAGCTAGTTAGTAACCACCTGACTACCTAGTAGTAGTTACTATTTATTAGTATTTTAATACTAACCAGTACTTAGTTACTCTTAATTATAAATAGTAATAATTTTATTTTCATGATTATTATTATCTATTTACTCATCACAACACACCCACACTGCAGAGTTACTGAGAGAGAAGACACGATTGAAGCGACAGAATAAAATGAAAGAAGTCATTGAGATGTGCAATGCCCTTGGATTGGAATTCTTTGAACTTGGTTTTGCTTCTTTTTTTTTCTTGCTTTATTATCCATTATATTGTTTCACTCACTTTTTCTTTGTTTATTTGTAGACTTATAATTAAAAATTAAGATAAATTAAAATTAAGTGTTAAATTAAAAAATGAATTGGACAGGAAAATATGAAGAAGCATTGGATGAGCACAAGGAAGCATTGGAGTTGAGTGAGATGGAGCATGACATGATTTCAAAGGCCATATCACATCGCTACATTGGATGTGTGCACAGCTCAATGGCTGATTATAAAGCTGCCCTTAGAGAACACAACATGTCTCTGCATTGTTTTATTGTCTATATCCTTGTTTTGTTGTTGTTTTACTGTTGAGTTAGTCTTTTTATCTGGTGCCACTAATGTCTCTAAAATCTGTTAGAAGATTCCTTATACTCATTCTTAAATTTTTATGTTCTGAAATGAACATCTTTTATAATTATTGTAGTTATAACATGATCATGAAAGTTACAAAAAAATGTTCATAAAAAATAAATTACTTACCTCAGTTACCTGGATCTTTCCATCCAGTGCAAAAGCCAAATAGAGCAGCAGAGAGCATATGTGACGATTGGAAACACTCACCTTGATTTTGTCTATCTCCACAAAGGAACCAAGAAAGGTCAGATTGCCCTGAAGAAGGCCGAAGAATCATTCATCCTGGCACTGAAGTTGTGTGAGGGACTGAGAGTTAACCTGGCAAAAGTTGATTACGTTGAAATGAAGTGTCGCTGTCTTCTTAATTTAGGTTCACTTTTCTGACTATGAATTGCTTTGCATTTAAACTAATTTTTGGAATAATTGAAAAATATTTTGAAATGATCATTCTGAATTGCAGGAATTGTGTACGACACAGATGATAATGAACCACTCGGTGTTGACTATTACAACCAGGCCATCAAATTTGCAGAGTACCTACTTAATATTCTGTCTTATAATCAGTTTTCTTATTTACTTCTTTTCAATTTTTCTCTGGCCATTTTTGACAAAAAATAATAATAGTTGGTTTTTAAAACTTATATAGTGAATGAAATACTTTCTACCCAGGGAACATGCACTGTATGATGAGCTGTACATTGGCCTAACAAACATCATGGAGTTTTATAAAAAACTTCGAAAATTTGACCTTGCTCTTGTGAAGGCCAACAGACTGGTTGCTTGTTCGAGGAAGTTGAGAGAGAAGAAAATTAAGGAGAGAGACTCCATGGTTATGAAAGCTAAGGTTTGTTTTCTCTCTCTTTTTCTCTCTTTCACTCTCTATCTATCTCTTTTTGTCAACATATGTTGAGCTTTTTCTGATTCAAAGTTTTAATTTGTTACTTTATGTGATATTGAAAGTTTCATTTTTCAGGTTGAATGTGTTTATATCTTTGTGTTTTATGCCTCTCTCTTCTTACAATTTAATATCAATGAATTTTTTTCACTTAAAGCTTAAAAACATATTTACACATACATGCGCACACATACATTTGCACACACATGCATTCACATACACACACCACACACACACACACACGAGCGGCGTAATTAATGGCTTAATGGTTAAAGGCGCCTGGTCTTGCTGCTGCAGTGACTGGCTTCGAATACAAAGAGATCCCCGCCTATCACATGCATTGTGTGTGATGCGTCGTTTTCAAGTATATTCATATAACACTGTGTGTTTTTGTCATTGGAACCTCTGAAGCAAGCGCAAAAGAGAGAGTAACCTTTAACCCTTTTAACATACACAGGTCCTTCTATGCATGTCAAACTTTGTGGCGGCCAAGCAAGCGCTCATTAAAGCCTACAAGATGAAGTTTCTATTTGAAGGCGAGGATGATCTTGACCACATGCACATAGAAAAGTTACTCAAGAAAGGTTTACTTAAGTTTTTTTTTGTTTTTTTTTTCAACATAAGCATTCATTTTTTCAACATAACAAGTTTATTATTTTCTTTTTAAAAATAAATCTGATAAATTTATTTTAAAATGGAAAACACCATTTTATATCAAAAACTTAAAAAAAAAAAAACAAAAAATTACTTTATAAATGAGCGATAAAAACCGTTAAAATCAAAAAAACTTTTCCAAAAAGTTGTGAGAATCTGCAACATCGTTGAGGATGTAAAGTTGATGGGCAAGCATGACCCTTGCATGCTCTACAAACTTTACGAGAAGTTGGGAGACGAGGCAGCCAATGTTGGGAGTTGTGATTTCGCACTGGAAAGTTACAAGAACATGGTGATGTGATTGTGATGTAATGATAATGTGGTGTGAGGTGATAGTGATTTGACGATGATGTGATGGTGATGCAAACTATGGGGCAATGATGATGATGTAATGTTTTTGTTATTGATAGTGTAGATAGCTTATAATTTTGAATATACTCCCATTATATTAATAATTCTTTAAAACTGTCATACATTTCAATGTTATAAGATTATTTATTTCAATAATTATTATTGCACTTTGATTAATATTTTGATTTTACTAACATGCACATTTAGCATGGTCATTCATTTCCTCCTAAAGTTCTTCACAAAACATGTTTTTAACATTTAGTATAAGCTATGATGCACTCATTACACTCATTCAGTTGACAACTTAGATTCATAGCTATTCAGTTTCTGTCGACAATAAATTCTACGCTCCAACTAATCAATTAATTAATTAATCAATTAATTAATCAATTAAACAATTAATTAATTATTTTTTATTTGATAAATTAGGAGACGTGTGCTAAAGCTTTGAAGATGAAAGGGGCTGAACTGATAGATGTCTGCAACTCTCTCTGGTTCACCTACAAAGATCTTGATGTTCACTGCATATGTCTGCAGTACCTCGAGAAAGAGATCTGTTACACCTCCAAGGATGATAATTCCAGGGTTGGTGGGATTTATTTAGGCTTTTGGATTTTGAGAATTGAAATGAAGAGAACTATAATGTTAATAGTAAAATAACTTCTATCACATCTTTCAAGCTATCACATATATCTAGCTATCACATATATCTAACTATCACATCTATCCAGCTTTCACATATATCTAGCTATCATATTATAATAACAATGATAACATCTAAATTGCATCAGTTGTTAATGATTGTATAGAACTATTATTACATATGTATTATTCCTTATAATGTTGATGTTGGATACACGCTCACCATCAAGTTGAGCGTACTCTACCTATCGAAAGCGACCATTCTGGGGCGAGCCAATCAGGAGCACGACCTGATAAGAGAGGCGTATGACCTGGCCTACCACCACGCTGAACAAGCAACCAATGATGAAGACGATGTCGTTAAGGTCTTTTTTATGTCTCCATATTTTTAAAGATTTTTCATATTTTATTGTCCGTTTGTTATGTCCATGCGTGTTTTGTCTGTGTGCGTGTGTGTGTGCGCGTGCGTGTGTGTGTGCGCGTGCGTGTGTGTGTGTATGATTTTTATTTTTTTTAGGTTGTTTTATGCTTCCTATTTTGAGGAATTTTTCATTATTTAACTGTCAGTTTTGTATGCTCCTTGTGTGTATGTGTATCTGTTCATTGAAGAATCTATTAAAGCTGTCATCCTATTTAATTTCAAACTAATTTCTAAATTTAAAAATGTCAATCCAGATAAAGATACTAAGATACATGCTTTCCTGGCAAAAGAAGGAGAAGAAGGAAGAAGATGCTTCCAACACGAGAAAAATTTTGCAGCAACTGAAGACGAGAAGAAACAACAACAACAATAATAATAATAATAATAAAAGACCTGATGATAGTGATGTCCAAAATGATGATGAAAGTGATGACGATGATGTTGTTCCCTATATGTTTGAAGATTTTGATGTTGGTGATGATGAAGAAGATGAAGATGAAAGTGATGATGTCGATCTTGACAGAGAAGTAGGTAAGTAGTTGGAATGGCTATGAAGATGGAGAAACATTTACAGCAATTCAGATAATTAACATTTAACAACTTAGCGACTTATAAAACCATTACAATGGGTTAGTGTACTGGTAAAGTGCCTGGCACTGCTATTGTCTTGACCAGATTCGATTGCGAAGAGATCCCCGCCTATCACATGCAGTGGGTGTGATGTATTGTTACACGTGTATTTACTTAAAGTTTGGGCGTTCGTTGTTGTGATGGTGAGAAATGTGATGATAATTCTAGAATGATTAGAATAATTTTAACCTGCCCACCAACACAGACATGTGCAGTGATAATGATGAAGATGACAATAGCAGGGGAAGGTCAAGGAAGAAAGATCTGCTAAGCAAGGTTGCCACAGAAAGTGTTTATCAACTCAGTTTAAATGCATGCTCATTCGTTTCTGTGTAGTTTTTGTGCAACTTCACGTGATGTTTTTGTTCATATTGTATGTAAAAAACACGTTTATCCAATAATCACATTTATTATCCAGCTATCAAATCTATCCAACTATCAAATCTATTCAACTATCAAATCTATCCAACTATCAAATCTATCCAGCTATTACGTCTATGCCATTTTGTGTATGTAGTTTTTGCAGTTATCCGTAGTAGATTTGTTCATTCACACATGTAGTTGTTTTCATTGTTCAATGTTTCAACTGCTTGTTTCAATGCATCTTTGAGAAGTTTGTATTAACACCTTTGTGAAGTTTATACAAACTGTTTAGATCAGAACTAGGACAGCTTAAAATTTTTATTGTAAACATTTTAACAATCGACAAATATCTCAAATAATCACAATCTTATAACATTGTTAAGACGTTCCTGGCATAAAGTAAAACTCCGATCACATAAACCTTGTGCTTATCATTTCTATGGTTTAGATGCGTCGATATTTTAACTCACAAACATTGATACGTACAACAAACATGCACTCTTAAAACGTTAATACCTAAGCGCATGAATACGCAAATAATACCGCCATACCAAGGTGACAAAGTATGGTGAGTCATTGTTGCAAGCTGCTTGCATATCTGGAGATCTCTTAAAAGTGAAGTCGTACATCAAACAAGTTGGTGAAGGGTGAATTGGATGTTTGTGTTTATTGGATGTATGTGGTCGTCAGTGACTGATGGACAGTGGTGAATAAACTGGACAATTGAATAGATGAATGAAAATATAATTTCTTTAGCATGAATGACTGCTTTATATCTGGATCTCTCTCTTTCTCATTTTTACTTTCAGTCTCTCTCGCTCTCTCCTCTCTCTCACTCTCTCTCTTTCTCTCTCTCTCTAACACTCCTTAACACATTCAAACAAGCACACATTGAAGAACATGTAACAATAAATATATGTGTGTGCTATTATACGCCACGCTAATTTCTCTATCATGTTAATGCCTGGTAAAACATAATTAAAATGGTTACATCGCTCAGATGATTCAGGCTTTACATCATTTCACACATGTAAAACACTTGAACTTATATTAAAATATTAATATAAATGTTCATGCACACAATAACACAATACATACTACACGTAATCTTTTCTCTCTCTCTCTCTCTCTCTGGCTCTCTCCTTTTCTTTTGTCATTTTTTTCTCACTTTCACTCTTTTTCCTTCATCTTCATGGACTCATGACTCCTCCCTTCATTGAATGACGTTGCTGATCACGTCATCGCCAGGGCCTACCTGTCAATCAACGAGACAACGGTGGGTGGCTGCCGCTGCACGACGCTGCCATCAACGGGCATGTTGAGATTGTTGAGGTCCTCCTGCAGAATGCTGCCTGGGTCAACGACAGGGGAGGTAGTGGGTGTGAGGGTTGGTCATGTTCTCGCTTACTCTTTTGTTCTTCTTTTTATTTTTATTTATTTATTTTTTAATGATAATTGGTGATGATAGTGAAGTTAAGTCAATAATGATGATGGTTACTCTGGAGATAAATTTCTCTCAAGTAACTCTCCACCAATTTCCTCCCACACAGGCTTCACACCTCTGCACAGCGCCTGCCTCAATGGTCACGTCGATGTCATCGAGTTGCTCTGTAGGCAGGGCAAGGCCGATCTGCTCTGCAAAAATGATAAGGTGAGGCTGCTACCGCTGCTGCTGCTGCTACTGCTAGTGGTCGTCGTTGTGGTCTTGCTATTAATAGAAACAACAATAATAATTTTTATTTTTATATTGTTATTTTAATTATTATTGCTTTTATAATGATTTGTATTGTTTCTCAGGGCATTTATGTGATTGGATAAATTCGTGAACGAATGAATGAATAAATGAATGACTGATTGATTGATAAGAGTTCATGAGGAATCTTAATGAAACTTTTAATTGTTGTGTGTGCGTGTGTGTGTGTGTGTAGACTATACTTTGATACATCTGAATAATCTTTTAAAAAGAATGATCTTCAATCTTTTAACATTGGAATATTGTAAAGAATGAAAGAACGAAAAATTTAAATGGTTGAATGATTAATTCTTTCATTTATTATATTTCGCATTCATTCTTAAATTTGATAATTTTTGCTTTAATTTTCATAAATAAACAACGGAAAACCAGGGCCAGTTGGCACTCGACATATTCAAAGAGTTTTGTGAGAGTGAGTATGCAACAGATGAGCATCACGAGTATTACAAAAAGTTTAACCAGCGAACCCAGGGTTCGTCGTTTATTAGTTTCTTATTTTTATTTTTTTTTATGCACATGTTATTATGATTATTTATTATTATTATTTATTATTATTACCAGAGCAAAGAGAAAAGATTCTTAAACCGTTCAACGATCAGAGACAGAAATTTCTTCAGAAAAATCAAAATTCATTTATGAGGCAGCAGCAACAACAGCGTCAACAACAAAAACCGCAACAACAACAAAAACCGCCACAACAGCAGCAACCAAACAGACAGCAGCAACCAACAAATGTCTCCAAAATAATGAGACCAGCAACCGACAGCAGACTCCAGAGTAGACACCCGGACAAACAACTGAGAGACAATAACGTCATCGAGGATGTGACATCATCGTCGTCAGATGATGAGGATGAAGATGAGGATGGTGCTACTAAAAGGAAACCAAAAAAATCTAAACCCCAAAAATCCGGTGGTCGTGATAACGACAGCTGCAATCTTAATGATAATGACGATGCTTCAGATGAGCGATTATACGATCCAAAGGTTGCAGTGAAGGCGTACCGGCAAGCCATTAGTAGTAAGTTTTGTGGCGATGGAATAATTTTTTAGCTTCCGTTCATTATTTTTGTATAGTTGGAAATTTTTTTCAGTCATAAACTTCAAATCGACTATTAAGTTTTTTTTTAAAAAGCTTTCAACTTATATGATCTGTTTGTGCGTTGTGTTTACATTTTTTTTAAATATTTCAATTCTTAAAATTTTTTTACAACAATATTTATCCATTTTCAAATTAGACATTAAGAAGCCAGCTGCACTTCTCTCACAAACTCAGTCGACCAATCAAAGCAAACCTAAGTTGCCAGCTGTTGTCGATAAATCTGAGTTTGTCGATGATGATTGGCTGGTCGATGATGTCAATCAAAAAGGTCTGCATTTTTTATTTGAATTCCATTTTCTAGTGTGTTATAAAATTGATCGATTATAAATTTTTTATTTAAATTTAATTTTGTGTATTTTGACATTTTATGCCATTAAATTAGCACTAAATGTTTGGATTATTCTAGATTAATTTAAATTTTATTTTCATTTTATTATATTTTAAATAACTCCAAAAAACAGAAGACCTTGTTCCTCCATCATCAGCAGTCAATAAAAGTTCCTCCAAAAAACTCCACTCCATCTCAAAACCCGCCATCGTCAGGAAACGCAAATCATCTTCATTCTCATCATCCTCACCATCTCACTTAATTCCATTACCACCACCACCATCATCATCATCGTACAGTAGAAATAATCGCGATGATGTTAGTGATGGCGATGAGTGTAAGAGCAAAGATGACGATGATCATAGCGGGAGAAAAAATGTTAGAAAAAAATTGAAAGGCAATTCAACAAGCATTAAAGGTAAAGACTGCAACAACAACAGCAACAACAACAACATTAATAGTGTTGACAACATTAATGCCTCCAATAACCATGTACATAACATCAATAACCACGTAGTAAATGATCTCCATAACAACATCAACACTGACGATAATACAAATGATTTCAAGCACATCAACAAAGATGATACTTTAAATAATAGCAAATACAGCAGCAGTAATCGTAATTACAACAACAAAAACAATTTTGATACTGGAAACAACAGCAACAATAACAAGAGTAGCAGTAGCATTATTTCTCAAATATGGGTGAAGGTGAAAATAGAGGATCGAATTGTCATGGTCCCCATTGCCAGTGGGTTAGTTAGGGCTAGGGACCGTTGTGGCTTGACATGTTCTAATTATTTATCAGATACTCATTTTGTGATGGTTTATGGATGGATTATTTGGTGTTTATTGGCAGATAGGTTGAATAATTATTTAATTGATTTGTCACATATAATGTTTAAATTTTTGACCAACTGACTGATTGATTTACTGACCAACCGGCTGATTGACTGACTGACCAACTGACTGACTCTGATTGACTGATTGAAACATTACAGCAGCAACCACACCTTCATGTGGCTGGCAGAGGAAGCTTCAATAAGACACTACAACAATTTTTGCTGCAAGCCCAGGCTGCAACTGTGGACCGCTGACGGCATTCTCTTGTCCCTTCAGGATAATGTCGCTGGAATGCTGTGCAACAATCAGCAGGTCATTCAAGCTTGCGTCTATTCAATAATTATTATTTTGTAATGGCATTGATGGCGTATGTATTGCTGTCAAACTTTTGCATTGGGATGTATGATGCTGACTTTTTTCTTGTAGCATGTTCAACTGTGATTGGTCAATTGACTGAGTGATTGTTGATCGATTGATTAAGATAAATTGATTGTTGATTGATTGATTGATTGATTGATTGATTGATTGATTGATTGATTGATTGACTGATTGATTGACTGACTGATTGATTGATTGATTGATTGATTGATTGATTGATTGATTGATTGACTGATTGATTGACTGATTGATTGACTGATTGGTTGACTGATTGGTTGACTGATTGGTTGATGTTTAAAAATGTTGCAGATTTTTGGTGAAGTAGTAGGTTGGCATGACATTTCTGTGGAGTGTCGTTATGAGGATGCTTGCAAAGCCTTGCAAACGAGTCCGTCCGTCTGTTGATTGTTTTCATTTTTTTTATTGCGTCACACGTTTTTATCTGCTTGTATTTGTTAGAGTTTGTACTTGTGTTCATGTTAAAATTATTCTATTGCTAAAAGTGTACAGTAGTGCCATGTGTCAAATATTTCTATCTTTGTCTGTTGCGTCTGTGTCGGCATGTCAGTTCCTTGTTATGCAGAAGATGCAAATGAATGTGTGTAGTTAGCGTGATTTCGAATCTTTAGCATGCAACACGAACCAATGAAACAGAGTCTTACTCAAACATCAAGTCACAATTGGTCGAATGCGACCAATCAAATATCCTCAATCTCGTCAACCGTAGCATCCAGTTCACACAGCTCCAGCCAATCGTACGAGTTCTTCAGTCACTTGATAATCTCACTCATTTGTTTATACAGGGTATGCTGGTGGTGGGAATAAGAATGAGGATGATCGTGATGGTGAGGACGATGATGATTGTGATTGTTAGTTAGATCGGTTGATAATGATGGTAATGGTTAGTGCTTCTGGTGATGAAGATGAATATGTAAATTTTGACCAGTTCATCATAGCCGTCATATTTTGGTCATTTCATTTCGGTTGACATAAATGTCATCTCCTTCGTCGATGTTATCATTATCACCATCATCTTCACAAGCACCGTCATCACCCTTACTTTACATCACGGTCATTATCGTCTCTTCAATATCATTAACAACAACATCACCATCGTCCTCGCCACCATCACGCAACTTCATCCTCGCAACAACATTCACCACAGGTAACAAAATAAAAAACGAAGGATTTCGTAGCTTGGCAGTTGTTTTGAAGTACGTTCCCTATTTGAGTTCTTTGGATGTATCCAACAATCAGCTGACTTACGAATCTCTCATCTCATTGGCTAATTGTGTCAGTTCAACAACCAATAAGAAACCACTTCAGGTCTTATTAACCAACAGCGATGTGTTTGTAGCAAATGATTGTGTGTGCGTGTAATAGCAAACAGTGTAACAAACATTTATAAGTGGTTTGATTTTTGATGGCTGTTTGTTTGAAACTTACGTTAGGTTCAACTTTGAAATATTTTGTTCATTGAGCTTACTCTCTGCTTTGTGCTTAAATAATAAAATTTGAATGTTGAATGCTGTTACATTGTTGCCATTACAACATCAACATCAAAACTTCAACACACAACATCAACACCAAAACGTCAACACACAACAGTGCTTACAGATGTTGTCTCTGGGCAACAACCCATTGACCGATGCATCGTCACAGCACTTGAAGATCTGTCTCAGCAACCTGCCTATGTTGTCGCAACTCCACATCAACTGCTGCTCGCTGACAAACAAATTCTTCAACTTTTCTCATTCTATATTCAATGGTGAGATTTGTGTTAGATTTGTTAAATTTATATTTTTTTTTAAAATACGAACACTTCATTTTTATTTATTAAGTTGTGTTGCTAATCTCCGTCGAGTAGTTACTATTTAACTGAGATAACATTCATTACTGCTCTGTTGGAGATAACTTCTAAATGATATCAGATTCCTCGTTGGAGCTGCTTGACATCTCGGAAAACAACCTTTCACAAATTCAATCATCGCGCCTCATTCAATTTTTTGACTTCGGAAGATTGGAGTCTCTTTTCTTGCCAGAAGTGAATTTAGACTTTGTGGAGTGTTTGAAGAAGCATTTGCTCGAGTCGCAAGTGAGTTTTCAAGCCTTTTTCACAAATAGCTATGCAGTTTTCAACATGTCATGTCGTTTTCGCAGTTTAAATAAACTAAGTTAGAGTTTAATAGAGGCAGGAGAACTAAGAGGGGCATGCTTTCTCTTGGTCTTTTTTACGCCGTCAAATTTTTAATCTAGAAAAATTAGCAGCATTTGCTTAATTCAAATTTTTAAAACCAGAATTTAAAATGTTCTTACGGAGAAATTATAGCTGTTTTGTTAAATGGTATCGTGACTATTTAAAATTTCATACTTTTGTCATATTTTGGGTCCACACATTTTATTGCTCCATCTATAGTCAGTATAGAGTAGAGATGGTTGGTTACAAGCTAAACGTGTGTGTGCGTGCTTGTGTGCGTGTTTCCCACAAAGGGCTGTGTAATTCTCAATGCAGCTCTTATAAGAAATGATTGCATTTACTTTGTTAAATATTTCAGTATAAATTCAATTATTGTTATCTGTTTTTAATCGTTTAAGGCTTTGATTTCAAATCTTTGTCTTAAATTCGAAGTAGCTCGATCAAAATTGTAATAATTTTAATATTTTTAGACGAATATTTCCTTGAAGCTTCTAAGCATAAACGGCAAAATCGTCCCTCCGTATTGAATTCGTGTTCCATTTTCATGTCTCCAACATTTTGAATGGTTTTTAATTTTTTAACGTTTCGACTTGATTAATGGAAAATCGTATAAAAACTTATTAGGATATTGTGTTTTTTAGTTGACGGATCTTTAAGCTTGTTTTATTGAATTTTGCCAACTTGTAAATGTTTTGCATATAACTCAGCTTTTAAAATAATACAAACGTTTTGTCCATGTTTTATTTTTTCACGGCGATTCGTGTACTTCTAAAAATTTCAAAGTTATTTATATTTTTATCCAAAATCTTTTATCAAATTGTAATGACGATCGTTTTCTAAATAACAAGTTTAGTAGGGCTAATTGCAATCTTGCTGTAAAGCACACCGGTAGACGTGTTGCGTTTCACAGACTTTCTACTTACAAGAGAAGTCTATAAAAATTGATGGTCCATGGCGTTTTCCGGTCTCTTAACAATGCGTTAGTCGTTACCAAACCCAGATCCTTCTGTGAGCATTGTGCGGCAGCCAGCGTTCACGTTTATGCGTTCTCTCACTTGTAGTTAGCACTTAGCAGGAACTCTTTCCACACAATACAACTTCCTCTGAGGTGAACTTCGATGATTTAAAAATTCGCATTGTAGTGTGGACGCTAGACGAGACAAAGAATGGTATCTAGACTGTCTGAATATTTCGCAACTACCTAGAATCACTAAATCTATAAAGAGAAAATTGCTCATTAAACGTAAGTAATAACTTTCGTAAATAATTTTTTATGTTGATAGAATGAGAATAAACTGAGTGAGTGTGCGTGTATATTTTCATATAAAGGTTAAAATACAGATATTATTCCGCTGACAAAGTTTAAAGAAACCGACTTTGAAGCTACAGAGATGCAACAATAGGCAGAATTAGGATAACTTTGTTAATATTTATCATTGATCATTATTTACAATCGTAACTTAACGTAATTAGGGTAACTTTGTTAATATTTATCATTGATCATTATTTACAATCGTGCTCATCACTTGATTCAATATTCTTTATTTTCTTTATTTAAAACGATCGTGACAAGGGTAAAGAAAAGTGAGGTGAAGGCTTGTAAAAAAAAAAAAGTATATACATGGTATGTATGTTGAATGTAATACATGCGATGTAACGTCTTGCTGTTCCTCGCGTGTCTCCTAGCAAAATTAAAATCATTATCTAAAAAAATTTCAAAATGTTTTCGGGTTCCATGCCTAATGTTTAAAGTTAAAGACATTATTAAAAAGAATTTTAAAATTTTTCCGGGTTTCCATTAAGATTAAGTTGACTTTGTCAGTGTTTACCATTGATCATTATTTACAATCGTCTTTGTTTACTTTATTTATAAACGGTCGTAAACGTAAAGTAAGGAAGGAGAGATAGCTTGTAAATGAAATGACGGAATGTGGTATATCTATATATATTATATATATTTGTGTTTTTGTTAATTTGTTTGCGTGTCTTGTTAATTTACGTTTACATTTACTACATGGTTAGTGTTCACTTTTGTGTTATTTTAATAATTATAATAATTATTATAATAATATAATTTGTTGAGGAAATTATAATTATAAAAGATATAAATAATTTATTACTTAAAAATAAATGTAATATTAAAATGTTATTTTATAATATTTTATATTCTATATTAATATTTCACAATTATTTTCTCTCTATTCTATAATTATCATTATATAATTTTTTTATTATTTAATTATTATGATTGTCACTCAACATTTAAGACTTTTAAATGTTGAGTGACAATCACAATACACTTAAATTTTAAGTGTCTTGAAATAATAATGAATCTGATTATGACATGAGTCATGATTTATTTAATTTAATTAACTTAATTAATTAAAACATGCAAATATTTGATTGTAATTTAATGAATATTTTTGAATTGTTTGCAGATAGTTAGGCTGTTGTTTTGTAAGGAAAAAGATAAAAAAAAATGAAAATAGCAATAGAAGGTTGTTGCCATGGTGAACTGGACAAAATATATGAAACAGTTCTCAAATGTGAAGAAAAAAGTGGTATAAAAGTTGATCTGCTGTTGATATGTGGGGACTTCCAAGCAGTCAGAAATTTTCAAGATCTTCAGACAATGGCAGTGCCACCAAAGTATAGACAGATGAACAGTTTTTATAAGTATGTGACATAGTTTTATGTTTTTCTAAAATTATGAATTGATTAATATTAATTAATTTTTAGTTAACTAATGAATTATAAATTAATTAAACAACTGGATGTGGAAATAGTTTCAAGATATAATTTTTTATTTTTCTACTCAGGTATTATTCCGGGGAAGCTAAAGCACCTGTATTAACCGTCTTCATCGGTGGCAACCATGAAGCTTCTGCGTACCTCCAGGAACTTCCATATGGAGGGTGGGTCGCTGAAAATATCTATTACATGGGTTAGTGAGGATTAGGCGTTGCCTAACAACTTTCTTTATTTCTTGTTTTGTTGAGTATTTTTTCCATAGATAAAATATTTATTGCATGTGCTAGAATGT